TTATACATTAAACGAAAACCACCTACCTGCAAACTCGATGTCACATCGTACGAATACGAGAATATAAAGGTTTTTGTACTGATCAGCCATTTGAGCATATCGACATACTCGGCATCTCGTTGTACCTCCTCTGGCGTAGCATAGACATTGTACCTTATGTAATCCACATCATTAACCCTCCATAGCGTATGTCCTCTCACCCGTCCGGCAATCGCGCTCTTAGCCGTAACTACTAACAATACAGGGCCTGAGGGCAAACGAAGCACACCTAGGACTCCATGCACACAGCGCACATTGTGGCCAGACAGTACAGCTGCTTCTACCGGCTTTATAGTATGTGTAACACGGTCTATCTCAGCCCAATGTGGCGATTTTCGGTGGTCGGAAAAGAGGGGTTCCAAGCGGAAGGTGTTCTCCTCGATGTATATATTCAGCGTGTCTGGCAACATGTTGAGATAGATTATACATGCACAAAAGTTTCATATGCTTGCTACTACTACGATATACGCTTAATATCGCGTACTTTATGGTAAGTAGACCACTTTCTCCCCAGTGATATGAGCCACACAGCACACTCACTATATATTATAACAATATTTATGAGGTGTTCAGCATGCGCACCTAACCATGTCAAGTGTTGGGATAGCCTTGTACCGCAGTTGTATCAGGTGGGGATAACAAGGCGTGTTGACAGAGTGGCTCTAGTACGGGATACGGCACGAGTGGACGCTGTTCACATATCCACCGTGTGGCGATATATCTAAGTGTACATGTAGTGGCAACGCCAGAGTAGAGCCTGGTGGCACTTGGCATTTAGTTTGGCCCGGTCGTTATATACGAGATATGTTTTACATATGTATGACTAATCCTTATCATCGGCAAATTATACGGCCATCCAAAATGATTGGTTGCGAGTCTGCGGCAAAACAACGACGTCATTATATTTTAAAAATTGGGAAAAAGACACCCCACTGTGTGTGTGTAGATGACGATACTGTTTTTAAAAAAAACAAAAAACAAAGCATACGTGCACGATGATATTGTTTAGAAAAAATAAATATGTACGACAGGCTACGTATTTACAATTGTTCATGCTATAGATACATACATTGTGTTCCTCATTGGGAAGGGTATTCGAACTTCTCATTACCCTATAACTGGTGAGGGCTATGACCTGAAGGCTGACAGCCACAGGATGATCAAATATTGTAGGTTTGCGAAGGATACGTTGTTATAGCTTGTAGGTTTTGATGGGTAATTATGGAACAGCCCAAAATGCAAAATAGTATTGACAATCCTGCCTGATATGAATGCAGAGATAGTAAGATTATATTTCACGATGGAGTTTGAAGGTGAAGAAATATATACAAATTGATATAGATATATATAAATATAAGAAATATATACAAGTATCTACCAGAGTTACCCCGACTTGCCGAGACCAGGTGTTTGCCTATGGCGTGGTGCACGTTGCACGCCTGTACACTGATGCACCTGTAGCTCAGAATTCTAGACAAATACGCAAGCGTTACACTAGCAAGTTCAAACTAGTAAGGTATGGCACCAAGATACCAACACCAGCTTTGCTAAACGGGTGGAATACGAATACACTCAGTGAGGCCCCAGGAATTTGTATATATGTTCCAGCTGCATCAACGCTGCGGCCGAGTTTGAACACTCACATATGCATGGAAGTATGTGTACGCATGTGTATGCTTTGTCCACATCTGTAGCGCTCCTGTTTGATATAACCACCATATTGCAATGTAGAGGCTGTGAGTCCTTAGCTGTGCTCACCAAGTAACTGCTGCACAGCATCCCCTCGTGAGTATCATTAAAAGAAACAAAATATAAATAGAAACGTAAGCAAAAATCAATAGTTCAAGAGTGACTACGTCTTTTACAGGACCGCGAAGATTGCCCAAGACACATCAGATACCCTAACACACTTATGTGGTACATCTCAATAGAAGTTCTACAATACTGCATCTGAGTGTGATCGAAAGGATCGACAATCAAAGCAGTCACACGCCGAGAGTGTAATCCGAAATACATCTCGATATAAGTCCTTAAAATACTGCACATACCTGAGTGTGATCGAAAGGGTTGACAATCAAGGCAGTCACAGGCCGAGACGTATATCCAAATTCATGGAAGTACTATATGTATATTAAAATCCTAAGTTTAGCACTATATGTATATCCGAACAAATAGACTAGTACTATATGTATATCCAAACCGTCAAATTAGTACAATATATATATATATTCAAATCCTCGGGTTCGTACTATATCTTTGTTTATAAATTACTCGTTCATGTTACTTCCTAAATATTTCTGCGTGGTGGTATTAAACACCCCACGTGTACGAGCCTCTTTCCATGCATTCACGGACCCATCGGCCTCCACCCACGAGCAATGACACTGCAATGTGCTATCGCCTGTGTACATGCTCGGTTGATCTAATACTTGTACTAGCACCTACGTGTGTATATGCTAATTAATGTCTTGCTGATGCTGCCTTGCCTTAGCATCGAAGTACTACATATATCACCTGCTGGCGCATCCCTTACTTCAACACTTATGTTTGTAGGCACCCATCATATACGTGTATGTGTGCCCCCTACGTTTGCTTCCTCACATCAGCATCTGTGTTTGTATATGTATCATCTTCATTTTCATCCTCACTGTAGCATCTGTGTGTGTATATGTTTCACTTACTGTTGCCTCCTCACTTTATCATATACCTGTATGTATGCCCTTGCGTTTGCTTCCTCATTTCAGCACCTGTGTTTGTATATGTATCACCTCCATTTTCTTCCTCACTGTAGCATCTCTGTGTGTATATGTATCACCTACTGTTGCCTCCCCACTTTCTCATACACGCGTGCGTTTGTGTGCCACCTGCGTTTGCTTCCTCGTTTCAGCATCTATGTGTGTATATTCCCCGTCTACTGTTGCCGCCTCACTATCATACCCGTGTGTTTGCGTGTCACTTTCATTTGTTTGCTTACCTCACTTCGGCATCTACGTATATATGTGTATCACCCACTGTCGCCTCCTCGCTACAGCATCTGCGTGTATATAAGTCTCACCTACACTTACACCCGCTCTCTCCCTGTACCACACACGTGTCTATGTGCATATATCTTATCTACTGCTGCTTTCTCCTCAAACCACCCCACTTCTTTAAATCTGGTGCCACCCCCATAGGCCTCCTGCCCCTGTCGTCGCTGCTCCATATCCTGCTCACCGGACGTGCGGTGTCGGTCGTCTCCACTGATTGGTTCTCATTACCCATCGAAAAGGGGTGTGCCCTAAATGTCAGCGGCGAGGGCTGGTCTTCAATCGCCGACGGTATTGGACCGGTGTCCGCATTTGCGGGTAGTTTGAGACTGATGTCGCTGGGGGAATAGTTCCCTTCCGAATGCGACCGAGAATGTCCTGATTTAGAGTGTCCTGGTTTGCGGTAGCTGGGTGATAACGCACAGAGGTGGTCCGAAGTTCGGACGGGTGTACTCGTAGTTGCGGGTGAGAGTCGGGGTACATACATTCGTTTGCGGGTGGGTAGGTATGTGCGCACATTCAGGTCTGACCGGGTATTGGTCAGCTTCGCACGCTCGCCTATACTCAGCTGCACGCTATATGTGTCTCCATTGTAGGCCCACAATGATCCCGGGGCGGACAGTTGAGTTCGGGTGCCACCAGGTTGTCCCTTTCCAGAACTCAACCGCACCTCCGATGTATTAAACTCTTCCGGAAAATTCGGGTTCGAACTAATTTTCTGGCGCTCCAGATTCCCCAAAATCTCCTTCCCCTTCGGATCCGAATCCATATTTGAGCTCCAAAAATTAACACTCTCGTCGCGCCTTAGCATTGCACCGCTCTCTAACGCCCGCCTCACTGCGACCAGGCGGCTACAGTCTTCTGCGTCCTTACTATTCCGCCTTAACCTCAGATTCTGGTTGGTGTACAGGCTTTCGTCTGCATAATCGGGTATGTGAAGAGGGAGACTTGTGAACGTCTGGTTTAAATTCAACGGCGAGTAGGTAGGATAAAGTCCCGTCCTTCCCGCATGTGCACCCAGATTCGACTGTGTCCCATATGTCCCGGGCAGACCCAGGTGTGCGGCCAGGTGGATACCTCTGGTAGAGTCTGGTATCCCCATTGCACTCGCACGCCTCATAGAAGACTTCGCGGAATTCACACGAGGGCTCGAGAATTCGGATTTGGACTCGAATTGTCCCGACTTTGCACCCGAATTCACACGTCCGGTTTCGCTCTGAGTTGACTTGTCACCACGTGTGATGACATGCGTAAGTGCGTGTGATGTATGGCTTTCTGCCTCGGAGTCACATTCACTGTTACAATCAATATGATCCACGTCGACCATCTGAATCTCTCTGGTTTGTTCGGGTGAACTTGATGCGGAAGTGATCTCAAGGTCTACTGACGAGAAGCACAAGTGTAATGGGTTAGTCTGACATACACAAACTCAATCTTAGATGAGATAAATAATTTGAAAACATGATTCACCATTTACATACATAATACACACACACACACACATATATATATATTTATATATATAATCGGGCACGAGTACAACTTATATCTCTATACATGTATTATAAAATCTGGATAGATGTTCTAGCATGTGTCACATAGTATCCAGGTATCTGCGCAAAGGTTCTAAGTACAAACATTAGACAATGTGAATTTCCAAATTGATTTATCAATGTATGCACACGTTACCATGCATTGGCATATACATAGTGAGATGATACATATTGAGATGGATTATTAACAACTGTAAGGCTTGATATATATATATATATATATGAAAAACTCGCATCTTGCTAAATAACCAATATGCCTAACACATACCTATGCCACTGGCCCTGATCTTCGTGTAGTGCCAGTACCACATGGCCATCACGATGACAATTTGCACATCGTATATAAGAATGTTTATAAAGTACTCCATGCTCAGTATCCTGGCTGAGTCACCATCTCCGAAGATCTTCTCAAAGAGATACCATGACAGATTGGAGTAGATGATGCCGAAGGTCACAACTAGCCAGAAGCTCATAGACATGCGCGTTGTCTCGAGATGGTGTTGTTTGAGTTGCGTCCGCAGGCGCATCAGCATGAGGATGACTACCAGGAACATCAGAAGATACAGAACCTAACAAGATACGAGGGTAATAAACGTGTTAAGATCAGTTGCTGGTTGAGTGCAATCCGAAGGTATCTGAGCATATTTCCCTTCGATTACAGATTGACTCTGATCAATATGCACAGGAGGCGAAGAGCGACACCTAGAGCTGAGATTAGGACTGCAAGGGGCAATGCCAAACACAGCACTTGCAGGACACAAGGAGCACAAGACACCCCAGCCACAGCCTTCTAGATAGACAGCCTCAGCATGCACCGAGTCTCGTCGAGCACAAGGAGATGTAAAAGCTATACGATGTACTTTAAAGGGCCGATACATCAGCGGATACTATGATTGCCCGGGCGTATGCTCAGTTTGAATCCCGCAGTTTAGCACACATACTAACAGGATTACATCTACCAACTCGATCTCTACCAGCATGCTAGAGGCAGCAGCTATAGATTTGCAGGTCAGTGTATGCGTCTGTATAAGATTCAGTGTGTGAATGACAGCGGACATTTGAAACGCAACCGTATACTTCAAACTTGAAATAGCCCCAAATAAAGGCCCCACCAGACAGACCATTACCAATCTTCATAGAACACGTAGGGGTTTAGACGACAGATTGTTACCAATTCTCAAAGAACGCGTAGGGGTCTAGGATGCACCCCAATCTAAGCAACCGGCAAATCTCTATAGCAAAAGTAGAAGACTTTCATTTGAACAAGCACTATCCAATAGACATATTCCACGCAGACACTTACAAGACGCAAGCATAGCCATAGGCTGTCTCGAGCATAACTACATCTAACAACATACGGAAGCCATGCATGCATCCGGACACGTGGGTCTTCTCAATAAGACGGGCAGATATAAAGACATGTAATACGCGTACAAGCTCACCTGAAGTGGTACGAGAAAGTACCAGTCCACAGGGTCCCCAATAAACACCAGAAAGAGATATCCGACAGCAAAGGGCATTATCAACTTGGCAAAGGTTATGAGCAACCAGGTCTGGTCTAAGCACAGGTTACGAACCGGGGGGAATTGCCAGCGCCGCTTCTCAAATGATATCCAGCCATAGTAGAGTATGAATATACGCAGGTCAAGAATGAACAGCGGCAGTATAGTCATAGGACGCCCGAGGCAGTAGAAAATCCATAGCACGTGGTCTGCAAAAGAGGCGAGAACACGAGATAGAGTACAGAAAGGATTATGCATTAGTACACGCACACACAAATATATACACAATTCCGTATATAGATAATACATATACATATATATCATACCAATACAGAAGTACCCCCCCCCCCACCATATATATATATATATTTTCATATACAAACAAAAATAATATGTACACACACAAAAGACTATATATATATATACACACATTAACATATAAATATAACAAAAATAACCTATAAATGTATATATACACAGAAATTCGAAACACAGAGGTACGATGGAGTTAAGCCCTCTATCATCCGTCTCAGTAAAAGCCATGCAGATTTAACGAAAACTACGCCAGCTGATACCTATCGTGGTGGCGAATTGTGTATATAAACATATAACTTGTTGCGCAAAGACGGTTTATAGTATATACAGTATAATTTAGTATTACGCAAGAATTCTAACAAATATTGGTAAATATTCATGCATGAAACATACAAGATAAATCCATACTCTACATACATTAAAACAAACATACACACGCACTCTCTCTATAAAAAACAATAATATATGAATATATATATATATATATATATATATCTATATATATATACATATAAATATATTTATATGAATAAATATAAATATAAATATAAATAAATATATACGAAGGGTATGTACTTAGACATTCAAAGATATATCAATACACGTACATCATACACACATGTAGAATACAATCCACGTGTACACCCACGCACAAAAAGCATATATATATATATATTATGTAAGCAAGAATATAGCTTCCACTACATACATACCAATATGTATTTGTATACATATATATAAAAATACAAACATATATTTCTATTATTATATATATAAACACTCATACATGTGTATGCACGTGGATACAAATACATGAATAAATACACATGTATACATACATACATATATAATACACACATACAGATATATATATATATATATATATACATATTTATATACATATTATATTCAAATACAAACACAAGTGCAAACAAGGACGTAGTGACTGTCTATGTTTATCTGTACATGATGCGGAACATATAGTACTCACAAAGTGAAGTAAAAATGGTGTCGGAACATACTAATACCACCTACGATCAGCATGGCATAATTGAGATACAATGCATGTTGACTACTTTTGACAGGGCAGCCTATAGTGTTTACTGCATATCAATATCTAATATAATTATTCGTGCACGTATCAAACGAACATCGGGGGTCAACAAAGGATTGTGAATACCCATAGACGGATATGTATGCGATATATATCTCAAATTAATGTACAGTTCTATAGTAATTGGTACAGGACTGATCATACCGAAATATATTGAACTGTTAATACACCATTATAATGAAATATAATTAATACAATAGTTATCGCCTCTACGAACATTGCCATAGCATATACAATTAATATATTGATCATTGCATCTACAATTGATACAATGTTCATATTGCAATATACTATTTTGTAGATATATTGGCCATATTGTAACATACTTACAATTGCCTAAAAAAGTGTATTACCATGATATACAATTCATACTGTAATATACTTACAATTGGCGAGTTGGGAGCAGAACAAGTAGCAAGTCAGCTCGCCGATCTGAAACGCATATCCCAGAATAGACGCCAGCACGAACAGTACTGGGAACCGCGTGGAATTGCGCAGGCTTCTGGTTAGTACGACTATGTACGCATATGCAACTGCGATAGTTAAGATATTGATTATACCTAGCACTCCCAGACCCGTTCCCAGAGGGGTGGGAACACATACTAAGTCTTCCATCATACTGGCAAAGTCAAGTACGAACAGAGTGATCTCCGCACATGGTAGTGAATGTTTGTGCGGACCGGCTGGTATACCAGTAGGCCATAAGTATGTCTATAAAGATAAAGACAGGATCAGTACACTTCTAGCAACCGCTGGGTAGCCGGAGCATATTCATATGTAAATATGTATGTATGTATGTATGTATGTATGTATGTATGTTTGTAATTATGTATGTATGTTCATCTAACTTGAAAATTAAAATACAGTTGGTATCTGAATTCTGGACTTCCAATAAGTATGACGCAAGTGTAATTGGTGACTCTCAGTCTCTATTTTTAAAATTACCCCTTTCGTAATAATAAAAATGTTTGCCACACTGACGAGTGACGTCTGACGAGTGACTGAACTGACGAGAGTGACGAGTCTGACGACAAACGTCTGACGGCCGACGGGACGGATCACGGACGGGTAAATAGACTCCTCAAAAGCCTATTTATCCAAAAAATAAATTAAAAATGAACAGTGTAACACTGTAAGTCTGTAAATGTCAATCTTTTTTAAAAAACAAAAAGAAAGAAGAGGCTAAATATAAAATATGCTGTGACTCTGTGTCTCTGTGACCCCCGATTTTTTTTTGGAGTTGTCAAAAATAATGTATTTTGTTTAAAACAAATTAATTTAGCTGTTTTTGTTCTGGGTTGTTTGTCTGTCTTTGTGAAAAAAACAAAAAAAAGAACAACAAAAACAATTGAAACAAACCCCATTGCTCTTTTTTTAGGTTATGTACTAACCTCATTACGTTTCCCGTTAAAACGCAATAAATATTTAAATAAGCGTTCACGTTCAAAGTTTATCCTAAATATAGACTATGGTTTACATATAGGTACGTTTTTGAGGCGGGCTGTTACGAATTATACTATTTTTCACCTTGTGTCAGTTGTAAATAGTTTCAAATCGCCTTTTCATTTTAAAAAAGGTCAATTTCTCAGGTGCAAATTTGTAATTTTCACGGTCGATTTGCCCCCGATATACTTTAAAACGCTGCTCTTAAAAAACAAAACTTTTTGCGTTTACGTTTAAAGTTTATCGCATACAAGCAAAACGTATTGAGCTTAGGGCCTATGTATGACAAACCACATAAAAATTTTAAAAATAGTATTTGAAACGGTAAACCACGATATAATGTTTTTTCTCGGGCTCTTGAGCCTCTCAGTATTTACTGAGTAGCGAGTACATATTTAGAATATTGGGTTGTTTTTAAAAAAAACAGGCAAATACAGTGAGGAGTCAGGACTCGAGAGACTCGTTTGTCTTTTAAGCGTTTTAAAGTATATCGGGGGCAAATCGACCATGAATTTTTTCCTCCAAATTATGCACCTGACTAAATGACCTTTTTTAATGAAAAGGCGATTTGAAACTATTCACAACTGATAAAAAGTGAAAAATAGGACAATTCGGGACAGTTAGGCCGCCTCAAAAATGCACCTATTTGTAAACCAATAGGACTTTATTTAAAAGATACTTTGAACGTAAACGCTTTTTTTGCGTTTTAACGGGAAACGTAATGAGGTTAGCTGACAGACTTTCGGAGAGGAATAACCTACTAGTAGTGAGTAAATATCAAAAACTCAGTTTTACTCCGTGGCGATCAGGCGGGTCAGCTCTGTGACTTCAGTGAAGTTCAGAAGTCCAGTATCGGAGTGACGAGGAACTTGTTTTGTTAAAAATTTATTTTATCACAGTTGACGCTCTCGAGCTATAAACCTCAACGAGTTAAAAGTTATAACTTTTATTTTTGTGTGTTTTTTTTACGTTTAAAAGAACACATTTTATAACTATATGATTATTATGAGCCCTTATCAAATTCATTGGGTGCAATTTTCAGGTCAGTAAGTATATATATTTAGTTCTGTTTTCAGGTGCAAGCTGCAAACTACTGAATGCTATCTAATAAATGACAGGTTGAATTTTCTGATTGGCTAAGAATCATTTATAATCAAGTGCAAAATTAAAAATCATATATTTATTTTGTCCCAAATAAAAGTTACAACTTTTATATTTCAAAATCAGTTTAAGGTTTAACGTTTATATAGTGACTCCATAACTTCATGAGGATAGCTCTCTAGTAGTCTAGAGTCTCGACTCTCGAGGACTTCCTGTTTTGTAGTATTTACTATCGTGCGGAGAGATATTTACAACAAGAGAGAGAGAGAGAGTATGACGGCCTGGGGACTGGAAAATATGGAGAAAAAAATATGGCAAAAAATAGCCGTAATATATTTGGAAAATACGTATTATGAGCCCTTGGCGGAAAATATGGAATATGAATTATGAGACAGAATTGGCATAGTATGTAAAAATACTTTCGAAAATATCAAATATGGATCAAATTTACAAAGTGTCAGGCTGTCAGCCTGGCAGCCAGCCATCGGCTAACTTCGGCTCACGGACTCGTGCTCGTCACTCGTCACCATTTGCTGTGCACTTGTGCAGTTTTTCTGATTTTCAAGGTCTTGTAAAAGCCGAGCCTCCACATTAGAATCTTGTAATATAAACGTACTACTAATAGTACGTAAAACATACTCTTAAAAGTATGTAAACATGTTTTCCTATTTAAATATGGGTTTTAACGGTTTTTATTAACTAAATACCTTTTCCATTCGACATATCAGATATTTGGACAAGGCCATTAAAAGGCCCCAGTAAAATACCAAACAGAAGAATTGGTCTAGTTCTATTAATAAAACTATATTTACTTTCCAAATCTATTTATATCTGAATACTTCGGTAGCATCTGTCATAGTCTCATGGATACCCAGACTTCAAATTTGAATACTTATCGAATATTATACTAAACCCTATTGGTGATAGAATAGAGTTAGATCTGATGCCTGATATCGTCCTGTTCTAATGTCCCAGTCCCCAGATGTGGAACTTATAGGACATTCTAATAAGTCCTGTCCTAAGCTTTTAGGACTCTCGAACAAAGTGTCGTTTTCCGGAATACACCTATTTATGTTTGCAAGTTGCAACCTGGTGTTATAGGGACCTGGACTGCTGGTCAGTGTATATGTATTTTTATTTCGTCCGTAGTTTGTACTTTGTGCCCGGCTGGGGCCCAGCGCCTAGCGGGCCTGGAGTCCTGGACCTGCGCCC